AAAGATTGATTTTTAATTATTCCAGAATAGTTGATATTTATTCTGACAGATGGTGCAAGCCATCAGCAACTTTCAGTTACACAATAAGGAGATGTCTTAATGTACCCACCTATCCCAGTACAATTTCACATTTGTACTTTTTTATCATAGAACAAATAAGTGATTCTGCACTTGCATGCCCAGTGGCCAGTCCTAATAGATAACATCAGAGAAGAAGTGGTAGGAAATCAATTAGAAAGTCCTAACCTCTATCACATGGGGTAATTGAGGCAATTATTTACAGTAGAACAACCTCCATGAGAGGACACTCATGCTAGAGAACACCTCTCTACAAAGGACAGTTTTCATTTGCAAAATTACCATTTTTACTATTTAGCAACTCTCCGGTAAGAGGACACCTAAATAACACTTTGGCTCTGCAATTAGGTGTCCTTTACATGGAGGTTCTACTGTATATGGATTACACATTACACAAGATTACACAAGTGACAAATGACAAGACATTGATGTCAATGACTGATAGCCAATGACTAGATGTCTATCACACATTTGACTCATCAAATTTTTTTTTTAAATAAGTGTTGGTGAGATAAGTGTGAGTAGATTGCAAAGGTCATTTGTTGGGTCGAAGTTGTTTCAGAAAACAATATATTTTATAGACATGCTGTGGTTAATATGTCTCACCACTAAGACTGTCATAAACTAGATTCATTAGAGCGACACCTAATTTTTGAAATTTGAACTATATTTATGACACGTATGATTATCATAATGATCCCTAGTACACGTAGTACAGGCCATGATAATCATGGTGAGTAGAAGTAGACAACTGTTTTTACTGTAAGTGCACCACATGTCTACACATGTGAAAAGCAGTTTGAATTTGCACTTACAAATAAATCTGTCAGAGCCCCATTTAATTACTTGCACTCGCTGGTGGGATTGGGCTTTTGCAAGAATCGGGGGGGGCCATTGGAGCATTTTTATTTTTTAAATCAGAAAAAAAAGTGCCCAATGAGGGAATCGAACATGGGTTGTAGCGGTTAAAAACCAACGGTTTAGAACAGCCTTCCACTGACCCCCTTTGAGAAAAAAATAACCAAATCAACCACAATGATTTATTCAACTTCCAACATATCAGTGACTCACTCTCCTCAGTGGAATGGTTATTTTGACTCCTAGGATTTGACTCCTAGGATTTGACTATAGGATTTGACTCCTAGGATTTGACTCCTAGGATTTGACTCCTAGGATTTGACTATAGGATTTGACTATAGGATTTGACTCCTAGGATTTGACTATAGGATTTGACTATAGGATTTGACTCCTAGGATTTGACTATAGGATTCAAAATTATCATTCCACTAAGAAGAGTGAGTCACTGAAACGTCAGAAGTTAGAAATTCATTGGTTGATGTGGCAGCTGTGTGTTGTTCTGAAATGTGAGAGTAGAGGTATAAATTTAAACATAAGGTAATAAGACCAAATCCAAATAAATAGTCTGTGACATTTCAGTAACAGTGCTGTTACTGAAACATCACAAACTATTTATTTAGATTTGGTCTTATTACCTTATGTTTATATTCTATAATCCAAATTTTACCTTATTGCTGTATAAATATGTGAAAGAAAACTGTGAAAACAATAAAAGTTTTCCCCAAGCTGACAGGTGAGGTGATATCATGGTTGAAAATAGTGACCTCCACTGGCCAATAGAGACTTGGGTGCTTTGCTGGCTGAAATATCTTGTTGACAACCTATACATCAGCTAACAACTCTGTATAGCTTTCAGAGCTTCATCAGTAGAGGGTAGGCTAACTTAGCCTAGTTTCCTTGTAAAAGGCTACTATAAAATGAGAGGATTTAAAAGCACGAATGTTTCTTTTATACAAAATACAAACTTCTACTGCCCTTTACTGCGATGAAAAAATATATTGGGAGGACTTGGCTCATCAGTGGTGAACCCTCCCAGCGGTTTTGCCAATTTAATCCACCAGACCGCTTCTCAGAGCTCTAATACTGTAATGGACGTTTCTGCTTATATACGCAGCACTGAAGGATGGAATCTCAGAAATGGTTTTCAAGAAAATTATGGACAAGCTTATACGACAGTAGAATTACATTCAGAAACCGCTGGGAGGGTTCACCACTGATGAGCCAAGCCCTCCCAATATATTTTTTCATTGTAGTAAGGGCAGTAGAAGTTTGTATTATGTATAAAAGAAACATTCATGCTTTTAAATCCTTTCATTTTATATGTATAGATGGCACGTTATTGCTTTGTGTTAAAAGGCTACTATCAAGTTATTTTAGCTTGAAAAATAGGTATTAATGTGAAAATTTGTTGTTTTTGCTTATTCTTCAAAAAAAGAAGGAAAGAGGGGTGCACCTGCTGTTGGTCTGAAGACCTGGAAGTACCACTCAGTATGACTTTGCTTCTTTTGGTCTCCTGACATGGAGTGTAGCCACTCCAATGGAGAACAGACAATTGATACATTAGCCAGGTACAGGGTGGCCTTACCAGGAGTTGAACTCCCGACGTCCTGTGCTACCTGTTTACACCCTCCCGCCATTTTGAGGCTGTAGGATAGGATTTTGGGAGGAGTGAAAAATTGTGCCATTTCACCTTCTTTTACTTATTTACATATCATGATAATCATGGCATATGTGGTTGGTGACTTTAAGTGCACCACATGTCTCACATGTCTACAGATCTAGAAAGCAGTTTAATTTTACACATACACAAGTGTCCCTCTCAGTTTTCATTTGCAAAATTACCATTTTTACTATTTAGTAACTCTCCAGTAAGAGGACACCTCTCCCTAAAGGACACTTTGGCTCTTTAATTAGGTGTCCTTTACAGGGAGGTTCTACTGTATTGGCTTTCAATTGTGATCAATTCTTAATATTACTTCCTGATCATGTAGAAGTCTGGTATTTAATAGACTAGTTCTATCGTTGCAAATGTACAAAATTTCAGACTTCTAGGTAGAGCCATGGTGGTAAAGAATAGACTAGAGAATAGAATTTGTATATTTTCTTTCAAATGAACATAGACACAGCACTTTTCTATAGCGTGATGAGCATCTGATCTTTCATAAAAATAAATACAGTAAAACCCCTCTATAGTGAACCCCAATGGGACAGAGCTTTTGGTTCATTATAGCCACGGTTTGGCCATTTTTTTTAACTTTTCAAAATTTTTAGACAGTATAATTAAAAAACAGCCATACAAACAGATAAAGGCAGCAACTTAATAATGGTCATTTTATTTTAATTCCCTAAATTGACCTATTTCTTTACAGTAATGCTGAATATCAAAAGAAGTCATTTGTTAATAGGTTCTTCTTATCATTAGCATACATGTTTATATACAAACCTATGTATTATTTAAAAATTAAGCCAAATCCCCTAGGCAAAACATTATTAATTATATATTTAAAAGGTATAAGAGTATTTTAGAACATCTTTCTCAAATAATATAATACTAAATATTTATTTGAAAAAATGCCTCTAATACCTTGTTGTTTGAAAGTGAAAAGTGAAATTTTAAAATCAGAATTGTCTTAAAATATCGTTATTTCCATCAAAGGAATAAAGCTCCGTGTATTCTGAATCAATTGAGGATGAATCAAAAGTATCCAATTCAGAAAAATCGGACGCGAAACATGTTGATACGATAGCGCGATCGGTAAAATTGCGAATAAAAACGCCAATTTGCAAAAACAAAATCGGTGGTAAAACAGCCGGCCAGGGGGGAATATCTGCGAACCCTGAATGGGTCATATACCTAACAAGAATTCCATTCTAAAAATAGAACTGTAGTGGTAGTTTTTGAGAATTTATAAGTCGATTTGTTTGTGGCTCATGAGACACGGGGAACTTTTTTTTTTTCCTTCTTCTTCCAATTCCAGTTTCCACATATTCTTCTGAAGTGTATATTAAATTTTGTTTTTAACCTGTTATTCAAACCATTTCTGGCCTTAAAATTATTTGGAATTATGCTTTAGCTTAGGTTAAACTTGATATAGAACGCTTCTAAAAGGGCATGCTGCCACTGTTTTATTTTTTTTTTTTTTAGAACGCCACTTTTTGTTTCTTTTCTTTATTTTGGAAGCCATTTGTATTTTTCTTCTATTTCAAAATTGTCGGATGCAAAGATATTCTATTAAATAAAAGTATACTGTGTAAAAATTCATACAACATACAGCAAAAATAGAATGGAAATGAAAACAAACAATGCCGCTAAATTTTTGTTTTGAAATCGCGATCCGTGAGCTGAAACATGCTCAAAATTTTCTTGTTTTAAAAATTTTTTAAATCACAATTTTAAGTTCGTTATAAGCATAGTATTTTTTTTTTTTTTTTTTTTTTTAGGGGGTCGGTGGAAGGCTGGTTAAACCGTTTGGTTTCGACCACTACGACCCGGGTTCGATTCCCGCATTGGACACTTTTTATGTTTAAAAAAAAAAAAAAAATGCTCCAATGGCCCCCCGAGTCTTGCAAAAGTCCAACCCCACCAGCGAGTGCAAGTAACCAAACGGGGCTCTGGCACATTTGTAAGTGCAAAGTCGAACTGCTTTCACATGTAGACATGTGGTGCGCTTACAGTAAAAAAAGCAGTCGCTAACTACTCACCATGATTATCATGGCCTGTACCACGTGTACTAGGGATAAGCAAAAAAAAAAAAAAGTATTTTTAATAGATTTTATCATTTTGGGACCAAAAATAGGATCGTTATAGGGGTGGTTCGTTATTTTAAAAATCGCAAAGTTCGTTATAATGATGGTATTTTCAATGGAATGGAATTGGGAATCGCCGTGGGTTCGTTATAAGGGAAGGTTCGCTATATCCAGGGTTCGTATTAGCGGGGTTTTACTGTAGATAGTATAAAACTAGAGCTATAAATAATTTTGAGCATTTTTTTCCCCCAAAGAAATATACATGTGTTGAATAAACATTTTAACATACATTTATATGAATAAACATTTATTCTTTTGTCTGATGATGGTGTAACAACACTGGGTAAACCGTTTGGTTTTCGACCACTAGGACCCGGGTTCGATTCCCGCATTGGGCACTTTTTTCTGTTTAAAAAAAAATGCTCCAATGGCCCCCGATTCTTGCAAAAGTCCAACCCCACCAGCGAGTGCAAGTAACCAAACGGGGCTCTGGCATTTGTAAGTGCAAAGTCAAACTGCTTTTCACATGTGTAGACATGTGGTGCGCTTACAGTAAAAGCAGTCGCTAACTACCTACCATGATTATCATGGCCTGTACCACGTGTACTAGGGATAAGCAAAAAAAAAAAAAAACACTATTAATTTATATGGATTAGGTCTTATTTTCTTGTAGCTATACTCTATAATCCCAAAAATTGTGCTTTATCATAAACATTTTAAATAACTTGAATAAAAATTAAACAAGAGTGATAAGGCACAATTTTTTAATTTTAGGCAAATTTAAGGCACGAAACGTCACATACTATTTATTTGGTCTTATTACCTTGTGTTTAAAAATTAAACAAATTTATTATTTTAAACATATCAGCTACAGCCTTTGAACTATTGGATTTCTAAGAGTAAACATTAAGGGAGTAGAGGGAATCCTATATTGAGTGAAGAGGTGACAAATTGTTCCTTATTTGACCGGTGACTTGTGGTTCTATATCTCCCCAATACTTCTTTACATGAGTGTGTCAGACTACCACGAGATATCATGATAAGAGAGTGTGATTCCCTGAAGATAACATGTATCACCCCATTATTTGGATTAGGTCTTATTTTCTTGTAATAAAATCTTTATTTGAGAAACTATTTTTTTAATTATATTTTTATTTTAGTTCTGAATTCTAAATTAAATGCTGCCAAGCTAGCATCTATACAGTAGAACCTCCCTTTAGCAGACACCCCACTAGAGGACACCTCTCTACAAAAGATAGTTTTAATTTGCAAAAATACAATTTTTACAATTTAGCAACTCTCCAGTAAGTGGACACCTCTCCCTAAAGGACACTTTGGTTCTGCAATTAGATGTCTTTTACGGGGAGGTTCTACTGTTTATGGATTATAAACACAAGGTAATAAGATGAGCCCACGATGATTTCCCCTTTAACTAATCCATATATATGATAAGGCACAATTTGGATTATAAATTATAAACACAAGATAATAAGGCCAAATCCAAATAAATAAATAGTGTGTGACATTTCTGTAACAGCGTTATTACCATCTTCAGACAAAACAACACTGTTACCGAAATGTCACACATGTGAATTAGGTCTTATTTATAAAGTGCAAAGTCAAACTGTTTTTCACATGTGCAGACATGTGATGCACTTACAGTAAAAGCAGTTGCCGACTTCTACCCACCATGATTATCATGGCCTGTACCACGTGTACTAAGGATAAGCCAAAAAAAAAAAAAAAAAAGGTCTTATTTTCATGTAGCTATAATCTATAATCCAAATTGTTCCTTTATCAGAAAGATTCTATTATAAAATGCACAAAAAAGGTTCAGCTACCAACATTGAGCAATTAGAATCATAGGTGTCAAAATAAGAGCAAGGGGATGGTCATTTGGTACATCCTGAAAAGCCATGAAACAGGTGTTTAGGCTGGAAGGGCGTAAGAACACCAAACTAAATGAATAAACAGTACAAAAGTGGAATTGTACTCAGATCAGGTGGATAAATTAAAACAAAAAAAGGCATTCCCTGATCGTGCAACTAAAAGTTATTGATGGCTTGCACCATCTATCAGAATAAATATCAACTAATCGTCGATTTTTAATTATTCCAGAATTGGCCAAATCCAAATAAATAAATAGTGTGTGACGTTTCAGTAACAGCGTTGTTACCGAAACCTCACACACTATTCATTTATTTGGTCTTATTACCTTGTGTTTATAATCTATTAGCCGAATGACCCGGGCAACGCCCGTGTTTTACCCGATTGAATGTTTTGATTCAAATACTATTTGTTACAATTATAAATTGGCGCCTTAAATAAATGCATATATTAGTTAATAACTATAGCCTATGTGCTTTATCTGTCTATGTACTGTTGGCTTCCGTAGGCGTCTCTTACTGGGAAAAAGAAAGAGAGGATTCCATTTAGTTATTAACTAATATATGCATTTATTTAAGGAGCGACCTGCTCCAACACAATAGTTACAAAAACCAAAAAGCGAGTGGGGGGGGGGCAAAGTCAAAAACAAAGTGTCTTGCGTAGTGGCAGCGCCATCGTAGCCACGTGATCGTAGCCAACCAATAGGAGAGCACCATTCCAAAAAAAAAGCAAACGGTGACAGAGATGATGACGCTCGTAACTGTATATAGAATAATCCAAATTGTGCCTTATCAATTGACCAAATACCATTTCTTAATTAATCAAGAAAAGTTAACCATGTACACATTTCGGGCTGTTGGCCCTTGTCAGCGTGGTGCAAGCTGTACCTTAATGACCAAAATACTTGGTCTTTGGAGCATGGTTTCCTGTTACATGTTTCATAGTTTTTCAAGATGCCCCAAAGACCAACTTTTTTTGGTCGTTGAGGTAGGTACAGCTTGTACCATGCTGTCGAGGGCCAACAGCCTGAAATGCGTACATGGTTAACTTTTCTTGATTAATCAAGAATGGGTATTTGGCCAATTCAGGATTAATTAAAAATCAAGAATTAGTTTATATTTATTCAAATAGATTTTTCTTATCTGCACTCAATCATAATTAGGGTATCAAGCTTGTAAAGCTTGAAACTTTTGATGGTGTCTGCTGGGGATGTGTCTTCTTCTTTCTTATCTCCACTCAATCATATTAGGGTATCAAGCTTGTAACGCTTGAAACTTTTGATGGTGTCTGCTGGGGATGTGTCCTCTTCTTTCTTATCTCCACTCAATCATATTAGGGTATCAAGCTTGTAACGCTTGAAACTTTTGATGGTGTCTGCTGGGGATGTGTCTTCTACTTTCTTATCTCCACTCAATCATATTAGGGTATCAAGCTTGTAACGCTTGAAACTTTTGATGGTGTCTGCTGGGGATGTGTCTTCTTCTTTCTTATCTCCACTCAATCATATTAGGGTATCAAGCTTGTAACGCTTGAAACTTTTGATGGTGTCTGCTGGGGATGTGTCTTCTTCTTTCTTATCTCCACTCCATCATATTAGGGTATCAAGCTTGTAAAGCTTGAAACTTTTGATGGTGTCTGCTGGGGATGTGTCTTCTTCTTTCTTATCTCCATTCAACCATATTAGGGTATCAAGCTTGTAACGCTTGAAACATTTGATGATGTCTGTTGGGGATGAGTATAGCTCATCAATAGATGAGTCAATAATGTGTTTTGAGGTTGCAGGTTGAGAATTTGAGTCATGATTCCAATAGATGGTGCAAGGCATCAGCAATTCTTAGTTACATGATCAGGTTTCGTAATCTATACAATGTGTTGATTGGATTACCAAGGTTAGGTCTGGTTTCTCAGTGCTTAATTATATAGATGTCATGTAGATTAATCCAGCAATGAAGGAATTCTTCTAACTCCGCCTTTGCCGGTCCCAAGCCCGGATGAAAAAGGAGGAGGGGGAGCAGTAACAAGCTCACTAAAAAACCTGGGCTCAGCTGGCCCAGCTGATAGTACCCTGTAGGGGCTCCTAATCTAGGAATACAGGATGAGCAGCGTTTGTACTCAATGTTAGGAGCGGCTGCACATGGCGTCTGTTCCTCATGTCAGAGGCGGCCATTTTTTTGGAGCTAAGTCAGCCTGCCACTGAGTAGTGCTCCCAGTCTTAATGACAAAGTCAGACTACTTCACCCAGTCATGATGGTTGTCAGACACCATCAAGGGTCACAACTTGATACCCTAATGATTGAGTGGAGATAAGAAAGAAGAAGAGGAATTCTTCTTTATTTCCTTTTAAACATCCCACAAAAAGTAACAAACAATAGATGGGGACAAAGCAGTACAAATTGTACTGGGATAAGGTGAATAAATTAAGAAAAAGGCATTTCCTTATCAATAAACTGAAAGTTGCTGATGGCTTGCGCCATCTATCAAGATAAATATCAATTAAATAAATATCAACTTGAATAATGATAAATCCCAATTTGGATTATAGATTATAGCTACGAGAGAATAAGACCTAATCCAAATAAATTAATAGAGTGTGACATTTCGGTAACAGCGTTGTTACCATCATCAACATAAATAAATTTATTCTTTTGTCTGATGATGGTAACAATGCTGTTACTGAAACATCACACACTATTAATTTATTTGGATTAGGTCTTATTACCTTGTATCAACTTGAATAATTAAAAATCAACAGAATAGTTGTTATTTATTCCGATAGATGTGCAAGCCATCAGTAACTTTCAGCTGCACAATAAGGAAATGTCTTAATAGATGTGAGATTTGGTGAGATCCTTTTAACCCAGATATATACATTCTGAACTACAGCCAACCACTGGGCTCAGCAACACTTTTATATGAAAAAGGAGGAGGGGGAGCAGTAACAAGCTCACTATAAAAACCTGGGCCCAGCTGACCCGGCTGATAGTACCCTGTAAGGGCTCCTAATCCAGGAATACAGGATGAGCAGCGTTTGTACTCAATGTTAGGAGCGGCTGTACATGGTGTCTGTTCCTCATGTCAGAAGCGGCCATTTCTTTTGGAGCTAAGTTGGCCTGCCACTGAGTAGTGCTCCCAGTCTTAATGACAAAGGCATTCTACTTCATCTAGTCATGATAGTTGTCAAACAGACACCATCAAGGCTCACAAGTTGATTTCCTAATATGATTGAGCGGAGATAAGAAAGAAGACACTTTTATATAGAATCTACCAATCACTCTCAAATAATGGATACTTATTTACATATACATGCTCCTGTTTGCAACTTTATTATTCTTTAAATCGTTATTTATTATTTATTTGGTCTTATTACCTTGTGTTTATAATCTATGATCCAAATTGTGCCTTAACACACTATTTATTTGGATTTGGTCTTATTACCATGTGTTTATAATCTATAATCTAAATTGTGCCTTAACACACTATTTATTTATTTGGATTTGGTCTTATTACCTTG